GGGCTACAGCCTTTCGCGAGAGTTGAGTGTCGGGTTTTAGGAGCACATGGCCAAACCACTGTAGGCACCGGCGTTTTGTAGCATTGTAGAAAGCTTATCAATGTTCAAGCAGCACCGTCGAACCTCATCATTGGAAATCCGATTTCTCCTATTTATTTTCAAGATGCGGCACACGCACCAATGTTCAAAGACTTCGCGCTTCTTTGAATCTTGTAATCTTAGCAGCCAGGTTTCATAATTATAAGTGAGAAAAGGTGTGGCTGAAAGCCTGATAAACCCGAAGCTTAGTGTTTAAGCTTAATTTGCATCGATTCCACAACGGTTTGAGGAGTTGTAGGACTGCTCTTCTAGCTCCATCTACACGGAGTTGGATTTCATTCTCAGCCTGACCGTTGGGTCTTATCGTAGAGCCAAGACACTTGAAAACTTTGGTTGGTTCGACAACCATCCCACAAGCATACCACAATCAAAGGGAGTATGGAAAGATAGACGATAGACAGGTATACATAAAAAAAGACCAATCCATCGGAGGAGGCACTTAAAGTTTGCCTGATAGGCAGCAGGGCTGATATTGTTCAGTTGGCACTACTTGTATTTTGTTGGTCAGCGGATTAGGAAGGCTTAATACATTTTAGCTGTGGTTTAATGTAAACTTAATAATAATTACCCACCAGCAATCTGAGTGTCAGAAGTTCCTACAGGAGAGAAATAAATGTTTGTCCAAATATTAAGCCCTACAGTGGGAACACGTTTAAACAACTGGATTCCAGCCAACAGCATCCTTCAAACATATCCTTGTTGAAGGTAAAAGATCCGCTCCAGTATTCGTATTTCCTGCTAACATCAGGAAATGAACCTGATTCGCCTGACGTAAGAGATAATTTCCACACACAAATTGAAGGTCCAGTTATTCCAAGTCCGTTTTGATCTTACTACTTCAAGTCTTCGGTAAACCACAGAGTCGGCACCACTATCCACAGCAAGGGTGCATGGAGCTATCACCTACCGCGAGAGTTGAGTGTCGGTTTTTTGGAAAACGTGACCAAACCACTGAAGGTGACGGTGTTGTAGTGACTGGGGGAAGCGTGTTGATGTTTGAGCAACTAATTAGCTGTTCAGATACATCCATGTATCATTACCACTTGCATGCGCTGTAATGTTTGTAAATAATACAAATTGTAAACACAACACTCACCCACTCACTCACTCACTCACTCACTCACAGAAACCGAGAAATCTCTCTCTGAGTGCATATCTCACTTTAAGTAGGTAGAAAATTAGAACCTGAAAGTCGTTCAAGTACCGTTCTTTAACTCTTCAAATCCCTTGTGAAAGGTTTCATAGGTATATATATCGATGAGAAGTCCCAATCAATAGGAAAATACTAATAGAGCTCAGTAAAACAATTCTTTGACAAAAATTGTTTTTTAGAAGATTAATAATCTTACATTGCAGAGCGTTGGACACCAGTGTTCTCATTGATACAACTGAGCTCACCTCAAGTATTATTAAGTGAACCTCGGAATTTAACTATTTGTTTACAACTGACTGTTGTCTAGGAAAACAAATTTTTACCAAAATAACTGAAATTCACTACAAAAAACGAACGAAAATTGAACTAATCTCGGTTGTGAAAACCGTCAGTATTTCGTTGATGAGCAGATTCCCGGGTTCGTTTCACAATTAACTCTACCCTGTGGATGATGATAGTCCATTAGTTGTATTTTGGAAACGATAGACGTGGGTTTACAGACAATATCAGTCCTTTCCTAGTGGACTCTGAAACCAGCTGTGCCCAGTTAAAGAAATTGATCTTGTTTACGTGAATTTGTTAGGTAATAGCGAAAAGCGTTGAATACGTGATCACTACTACTACTGCACTACTACATTTCGGTAGTGACCAAATCAAACGGAATGTGGAGCCAGTTTAGTGATAATTGAGTTGTCTTCCCGTTTCTCTGCTAACCGTATTTCGAAGTAACCAAATATCCGTTCAACAGTGTTCGTTCCGGTAATTCAATTCCGGATGAGCATCCAGCTGAGCTATGTTTGTACGATAGACATGTTTTGTCATTCACTGATGATTCATCAGGTCTGCTTTTGTCAAAGTTCAGTTCAGTTCAGTTTGTACAATGATTAACAATGCACTATAGGTCACCGGTTTCGGTTGTTGTAATTCGGCTGCCCAGTTGGATGAACATTAAGAGAAAGACAAAAAAGATTGAAGCTAGGATCAAAGATAAAATTTAGAATTCCAGTGGACTAATGTTGTAGAGAAATTGACAAGATACTCAAACACCACTGTTTACGACTCTCAGTCATATCACTCAGTGTCTCTAACCATCGGTTGCGATCATCCTGAGGTCCCCAGCCAGGGAGCCTAACGGGACCTATGTGATCCATTCTCCTGGTCAGGGGTTTCATACCCTCGTAACAGGTCTTAGCTTGACCATCCTTGGCTTTTTCCCACTAGGTGTCTACTTCGGCGAACATCACTCGCCGTAGTAACCTATTCGGTGACATGCGTAACACATGTCCCAACCAACGTAATCCATAGAGGTCGACCACTTCCTCCAGTGGGCGACCCCGGATACCCAAAACATTCGCCTGACCTCAGCACTGCACATCCGGCTACCTCACCAGATTCGTGCAATGCTGCATAGACAGCGGTGTTCAAACACCGACAGTCTGTCTTTGTCCTGTCGAGTTTCTGCACCCCATAGCATGACTGGCCGAACTGTCGCGGCATACACTCGACCCTTCACAGACAGCCGGATGTCGCGACGGCGCCACAGATGTCTCAAGTTAGCAAATGCCA